GGCCGCGCGCCGGCGGGCTCCGCATTGCACACTCCGGGGCGCTGCAGTGTTTGTGGGATGGGGCGGCCGGGACCCGCGCGCAGCCCGGGTAAGTAGGGGCGGGCTTCCCGGGAGACTCGGAGGGCGACGCGGGGGAGGCGGCGGCCCGCCGAGGGCTGCGGAGTCGGGGCACCGCGGGCCCGCGCTCTGGGGCTCTGCTGGGATTGCGCGGAGGGCGCCCTGGGCTGCCGGGCAGGTCGGGGGGCGTGCGCGCGTGTTGGCGACCGGCGCGGTGGGGTGATGGAGACGGCTGGAGCCGCCAAGTTCAAGGCTGCGGGCAGCCGCTCCGGCGAGGTCGGCGCCTGCTGGGGCCGGGTGCGTCCACGGGAACTCAGCCCAAGAGTTGGGGCAGCGGTGGCAGCGCCCACAGGTTGCTGCGGGGGTGAGGGTGGGGGTCGCGCTGGGCCCTTCGATCTCCGCTCTGGCCGGCGGGGACCGTCCACTGAGGGAAGGGGCGCTTCGCCTGGGCTGGACTTGGCGGCTGCTTTCCTCTCTGCTGGCTGGTTCGGTTGATTCCTACATGAAGCCATCGATTCCAACTAAACCTCTGTATGGGTGGTCAGTCTCGCTCAGTGTAACCCCACACACTGCCCCACCACTTCCGCCCACACCCCTTCCCCAGTCCCCTGTCTCTCTCCTCCCACGTAGACTCCACTCTTGCTTCACTGTGGGGTCCAAAACTTGATGTTTGGACACGGTTGCATCCGGAGTGGTCCCAGATGATCATTAGCGCCTCAGTCACTCGCCATCCTAGCAGACTCCAAGTACTTGTTTTAATTCGGGGTGTTGCGGGGAGCCGGACACACCTTCGGAAGCACGAGTGTTGTTGAAACGGCACTGACCTCCCAGAGCACATGACAAAAAGAATGTTAAGCTGCTCCCTCTGGTAACCTACCCAAGGTGTGACCTCCAAAATTCAATTTTCTTTGTGGGAGGCACGGGAGCTCAGATTCTCCAGAGAGAAGCTTATTTCTTGTTAAATTGACTTGCAGTGACATACACTGTGCTGTGGCTCTGGCCAGCCACTGCAGATGCCTTGATATTATTAGAGCAATTCCCTTAAAGCCATTACATTTTCTTTCCAGTGAAAGGAACTCAAAGTAGCTGTTTAAAATTTCAGGTCTGCGCCTTATTTCTCGAGGAGGCTTGAATGGTTACTGTATATGTGCTCACGTGTACCGAGTTTGCAAAAGATATTTGTGCAATCGTCCATGAAATGGCGTAATGCACATTTAGGTTAAACCCATTTAAATGTAAAGCATCTATCGGTTTTCAATTTTAGTTTCCACCTCAACCAAAAGCGCTAGAGTGAAACTGGACTGAAAGAGAGGCCTCCTTGTTTAAACAGAGCTTTATAGCACTAGTCCTGGAAGCATCCAGTAAGTGCTCTGAGCTTACAGGAATACAAAGCCTGCTAAAAATTGGTTCCTTGGCTTAGAAATATCACAATGCTTCCAAACCAAATAGGTAGACACAGTTCATGGGGCTACATTTGGAAGCTGTTGATAGACTGTAAGATGAATGTCTTTAGTACAGAATGCATAAATGGGGCTAATGCTGGGCAAGCAATATCAAATAAAAAACATACCGTAGGCTGTCTATTTTATGTAGCACATTGAAATTTACTATGAAAGAGTTTTTTTTTTTATCATCCCCACTGTACAGGTGGAACAACCAAGGCCCACAGAGATTGATTTTTCCAGGCAAATAGCAGAGTTTAAATTCACATGGTTTCTAAATTCCTTCCACTCACCTTCCTATTCTTTTTTTTTTCTCCTTCCATTTCTTAATTTCTTCATTCTGAGTTACAGCTTTAGTGTTTGCCTGTTTCTGTTTTTTGAACCTCTTTTTTCTGTTCAACTCATCCTTTCAGGGACCATTGTGTGCTACACCCAAAACACTTGGTCTCTGCTAAATTTCCCTACAAAGCTGTAGACTGATAAAGGTAAGGAGAAAGCTAAATCTGATTTAAGAGACCACCCTTTTCATTATATTATTTTTTTCTAGTAAGTTGTTAAAGATGCAAGTACTGAAAGCCACGAAGAGTGATGTCCTCAATGGACAATAGAGTTTCAGGAAAATTGAGTGAGGCAGTGGCAGGAATGTTTAAGAAATAAGCAAGACTCCTACTTTATAACCACAAAGTTCTCATTTGGTCTCTAACAACGAAGACTTAAGTGAGTACTTCACTAGTGTTACTCTTATTTTCTCTCTCTCTCTCTGTCTCTCTGTCTCTGTCTCTGTCTCTGTCTCTCTCTCTCTCTCTCTCTCTCTCTCTCTCTCTCTCTCTTTTGTAGAGCCAGGAATTGAACTCAGGCCCTTGCGCTTGGCAGGCAAGTACTTATTCAACTGAACTATCTCCCCAGCCCCTCTTATTTTTCAAATAATTGATGCAACAGGTGACTTAAATAAACCAAGAAAAAAGGAAAGAAAGCACCCTTTTTTTTTTTTTTTTTTTTTTGCAGAACCGGGGATTGAACTCAGGCCCTTGTGCTTGCCAGGCAAGCCCTTATTCTACTGAGCCATCTCTCTGGCCCCAGCACCCATTTTTTAAAAGTCCAGGAATTTTTATTAACTAGTATACAAACAAGAAGAAGATGTGGACTGAAAAGAAATCACATTTGTACTTGCATAGCTAGCAATAAGAAGCTTATAGTTATTTGCCTCCCTGGTTATTTATTAAAGGACTATCATTTGCATATCCTTCCCTGGGAAGTTATTGCTCACAATATGTATTTGTGACATGGGATAAAATTTATTAAGATAAGTGGAGCTAATTTTGTGTGCATTAATGTGGGTAGGTGTTGAATTTATTAAGTCATAGTTAGAGTGTGGGCTTTGGGTTAAATCTTGGCTTCACATATAATGTGCAACTACAGAAAATGTTGAACCTCTGTTTCAGTTGACTTCTGTGTGACGCATGAGTAGTGTACCTACCTCATTCAGTTTTTCAGTTTATTCATGCAACAAATGTCTAGTGATTTCTCAGTGTGTGGCAGCTGTATTCCGGATGCTGGAAGTTCGTGAGCATATTCCTTGCCAGTGAAGTTCTAGGGTAGCACCTGAGATCTAGTGATGTAATACATGTGAAATGCTTAGCATGCTCTTAGCAAGAATGACTTGATGGTAGCTGCTCATATGATGCATTCATTCAGGAAAGTTCACAGAGTGACTACTAGATACAGCATAGATTGGAGCATATAATGAGAGCAATATACATTTTAATTCAGTTCAGTTCAATTCAATTCAATGTTCTAATGGGAGGGGGACTCCAAAGAAATGTCAAATACAAAATCATTCTTCAGGGCTGGCCAATAGCTCAGTGGATTAAAGCACCTGTTTAGGCAGATTCAGGGACCAGGGTTCAATCCCCCGCGTGCCATGCTGGCTCTGCCCCTGGGGCATGATGAAAGGGCAGCTGAGACTGGGTATGGTGGTGTGCAGCACTTGGGAGGCTGAAAACAGGAGAATCACTATGAGTCCGATCTGTGTAGTGAGATTCTGTAGACCCTGTACTAAATACATAAAATAAAAATAAAAATAAAAATCATTCTCTAAAAAGGAATGTGATATTGGCATATTAGGGAAAAAATACTTGAAAAAAGTTCAATTTCTATACAGAAAGTGGGGAATCCAATTGAAGAAAAAAAAGAGAGAGAAAAGGTCCTGTGCTTACACTCTTTTAAAACACTAAATTCATAGGGAAAGAATAAAGGAAAGAAAAAAAATGCTTAGATATGTATAATAGAAAAATAATATATGAAGGGTTATGTTATTAGATTGAGCCTTTATAAGGTTACAGATCCTGTGCATGCTAGAATGAGGTACCCAAAAAGTAACTGAAGGGAAAAGTCCTTGCAGTTGGTTTCTCAATAATGAAAGATAAATATGTGAAAGGAGGATTGTGGAGCACTTGGCTTGCATTCTACAAAACATATGCTCAGAATAGAGATAAAACAGAGTGTAAATGAATCCTATGCTTCTGTTTTTGCTGAGTAATATTCTCACATTCAGTCTTTCTCAAGCATTACACACACCGGGGAGGCAATAGATCAAGAAGTGGCAGATGTTCAGTGTACTCTAGACCTAATCAACAGAGGAAATACAGATAAATCACCAGCACCGGAAGGCTTTCACCCATGTGTATTGAGGAAACTCAGTGTGTTAGTGGCAGAAACTTGGGCTTTTGGTGGGACATTCCCTAGTGTCCTAAGAGTTCTTGCCAAGGAAAGGATTTCAGGAAGGATGCTAGGCCCATCAAATGTGACCCACATTCATGTGGATGATGGGGAAATAAGTATTCACAACAAATAGATTATAGTAAATGACTTGCTTGGAGAAAAGAGGAATAATGTATTTGAGTTAAAGGAGAGAATGTATCTCCTGTCCCAGTGTTACAGAAGATGTACTTTTAAAATCTTTCAAAAAGCCTAATCAGGTAACAAGTCCCAGTTTCCTCTCTATTCACAGTCTTTTGTTATGAATGGGAAGCTGGCCAAGAAATATAAAACAAAAGTGGAGATCAATAGGTACTTCTGAGTAGACAAATAGGTTCTTCCAGGAAGTAGTTTGGAGGTGGTCTTACTTACCACTTCTACAGATGTTTACAGATAAGATGCAGCCCTTATGGGTTAGTAAAAACCAAGCTGCAGAAGTTGAACTAAGGAGTGTTTTAAAAGACAGGCTAAATGGGAAGAAAAGCAATAGAAGATTAAATCAAAACGAAAGATTGAAGATAAATGTACTTGGAAAAAGTAATTCAAAGCATTTATAAGAGATGATTTTTTTTTTTTTTTCTGGAACCAGGGATTGAACTTATGTCCTTGCGCTTGCCAGGGAAGCGCTTATTCTGCTGAGCCATCTCCCCGGCCCAAGAGATGATTTTCAATTCTGTTCCCATCAGCATATAACAAAACTTGCTACTATTTCTTAGCTGTCTTAAAAAAAAATCTATTAGGTTAAAGTCCATGTTAAAAAAAGGTAAGAGGGCTGGGGAGATAGCTCAGTAGATTAAGTGCTTGCCTGGCAAGTGCCAGGGCCTGAGTTCAA